TTCTCATTTGTCCGCCCTGTATAGCCTTTCCTGTTAGCAAAATTTATTCTGCTATGTGACTGAAACGGTGCAAAAATTTCAAAATGTTACATACTGTGGTTATATCCAGTAATGGGATGTCCTAAATTGAGTACTCAAGCTTAGCATTTACATCAAAATTTGAAGGTTGATCTCGTTTTTCCGTTTCTTCTCGAAAACGGAGCGTCCTATCGGGTATCAACAAGATGATATTTTTTGTACAAAATTGAATGATTTTTTATAGCATTTTATTGAATTTGGATATATTGCGTCGTTGCTCACTTTCAATTATAATACTGTGCTAGTCAAAAGTCCCCTCCCCCCCTCGTATCTTTTGAACGGGTATACTTATAATAATGAAATTTGGAGGGTGGAAATAAAATATTGCGTCACCTGTTATGACCAGTTGAGAAGCCTACATCCGTTTATTTCCACCCTCATAATTCTGTTTTTCGTTGTCAACTTAATTGTGTTGCCGTACAGCAATACAACTCGTGTCGACGGACTCGTGGTGTTGCTCGGCAACACAATTTCGTGAACAATGAAGCGACAGTTATGTCGAATATTCAGAACATGATATTACTCATAAGGTTCATTCGGGTTCGAACTATTACGGTTCTAGAACTGTCAAGAGTTTGCGCAGTAGAATCGGTCGCGTTCGGGTTTTGTGTGGAACTGTTCTAGGACTGACTCTTTACACGTTCGGGTTTTTGCAGAACCGTCCTGATGACGGTCCTAAAACTATCCGAAATCAGTACTTGCACTCGAGCATGAACCGTTCTAGTATTATTTTTGGCGCATGCTCATTTCATTTTGTTTTCGATTTTGTCTGTTGGAACGTCATAATGATATATTTTTGTTTATTCTACTGTGATTATTCTTTTCAATATTTTCTCAATATTATGGAGCTAGTACATTCATTTGATCTTCATCTTCAGGAAGCAGTGGTGAAGGAATTCCTTGCTGAACTTGCTGAAAATATTGTACCTAATCTGATCATTCTCGAACTTTTGTTAGATGAACCGAAAAATGGAGGATTGTATTGAGGAGCCTTTGCCATTACATTCAGATACACAATTCATTGGAAATTTCAGGTGGGTGTTGAAATTCATGTAGGTACAATGGACAAAACATATTGAAAATCTAGCTACGAATGCTATGCATGATGGAATATAATCACCATTCCTCCACCGAGGGTTTCCAGAGATATTGTGAATAGACTCGAATGAGAGTTTGAAGCTTCAGAATATCATTTGAATAGAGATACAGGTTCCAAACTATTGTTTTTTTCGCAAATTCTGAATAGAGGTTATGTTCTCAGAAGTTCTCTTCTGCCGCGTTCGGGGTTTTCATAATTTTTGAACCGTTCTGAAACAGTCCTAGGATTCGAAACGACTGCGCACTAGTTCTACGCAGTTCGAGAACGATTCTTGAACTGTTCTGAAATCGGAACCCGAATGAACCTATAATACAATTGGAATTTTTCTCTTATCAGTTTCATGTCATAGTCAGGCAAAAGAAAATTTTGATTGAGGTATTTCGACTTTTGAGTTGAGTTTGGTATAGAATTTTGCATAATAATATTTCAACTTCAAATTTTCAATAGGTAATTGTTTTGAGCTTCAGTGGCATTAAGCATTATACCTATTAGTAGTTACAGTTACTCTCCAAGTAATTTTCAATTATTCTACTGGCCAGACAATAACGATAATACCGTGGCAAACTGGGCGTGTTACTTACATAACAGAATTCTCGAGAACCGCGTATATACTTATATGAAAACTGAACAAACATGACATCATCGTTTATTATAGACATTCGGCATACGCCGATTTAGTATTCCACAAGAACCTGTTTGGTTCTTATGCACTTAACCGGCGATGGCGAAAGATTCGACCTGAACTATTTTTCAACATAACAAACAAATATCCTAGATGTTTCAAGAGGATTATACGATTATACCTACAAAATTCGGTAGGTATAGGCACAGTTGAAAGAATACAATACATATGTGTATTCTTTTAACTGTGGTATAAGTACCTATAATACTATAATATTCATTATACAGGGTGGAGACTTTAAGTGGAATAAATTCGCTACTGGGGGAGTGAATGATTTTTCTAAAAATTCGCAAGACACGTCAACTTCTAAATGTATTTACCTACATTTGGTGAGCAATATGGAGAATATAACCCTTCAGGGGTAGCAGGAATCTACCCCAATATGTTTTTTTCAAATACAACCCTATGGCTGGCGACCCCTCAATCCCCTCATTATAAAGCTGGTTGCAAGATGAATCCAGCGTACTGATCATATTTAATTTTTGCAGTACGATTGGGGATAACATCCAAACACAATTTCGAAGTTTAATATATTTTCAAAATATTTTCATCGAAATTTCGACATTAAGTGACAGTGATATAGGGCATTTACACGGGTGTGTATAATTTGCGGACTGAAATAAAATGTTGCGGACTGGCTATTTTCATCAAACTTTTCGATGTTTTTATTGCATATCTGGATTCAGCTCACCGATATACATGATGAGAAGTTTCAGTTTTTTTGACCCCCTTGGGGATCACTTTACTCGTGTGTTTTTTCATAAAATCTTGCGGACTGGGTATTTTTGAGGGTCAAATCATCTCAAGTTCACCATAAATCGATTTATCTCATGAAAATACACGATGAAAAGTTTTCGAATTTTTTCCCCAGGCCCCCTGGGAAGCACTTTACTCTTGTGTTTTTTCATAAAATCTTGCGGACTGGGTATTTTTTAGGGTCAAATCATCTCAATTTCACAATGAATCAATTTATCTCATGAAAATACACGATGAAAAATACCCAGTCCGCAAGATATTATGAAAAAACACACGAGTAAAGTGCTGCACAGGGGGGCTGGGGAAAAAATTCAAAAACTTTTCATCGTGTATTTTCATGAGATAAATCGATTCATGGTGAAATTGAGATGATTTGACTCTCAAAAATACCCAGTCCGCAAGATTTTATGAAAAAACACACGAGTAAGGAGCTTCCCAGGGGGGCTGGGGAAAAAATTCAAAAAGTTTTCATCGGGTATTTTCATGAGATAAATCGATTTGTGGTGAAATTGAGATGATTTGACTCTCAAAAATACTCAGTCCGCAAAATTTTATGAGAAAACACACGAGTAAAGTGCTCCCCAGGGGGGCTGGGGAAAAAATTCAAAAACTTTCCATCGTGTATTTTCATGAGATAAATCGATTTATTGTGAAATTGAGATGATTTGACCCTCAAAAATACCCAGTCCGCAAGATTTTATGAAAAAACACATGAGTAAAGTGCTCCCCAGGGGAGTCAGAAAAAAAACTGAAACTTCTCATCGTGTATACCGGTGAGCTGAATCCAGATATGCAATAAAAACATCGAAAAGTTTGATGGAAATAGCCAGTCCGCAACATTTTATTCCAGTCCGCAAATTATACACACCCCATTTACACCAGTTTATCTCAATAACACTTCGTTTCGAACTGTGAATACAGCAAAAAACAAAAGTTATTTTTGCGGCTCTATAAAAACACTGGAATACAATAGCAGATAGCAATTGTAGAAAAAATTGCCATCAATTGTTCAACACACATTTTGAGCGATTGATACGTTGAAAAAAAAAAATTTATTTCAACATTTCAAGTTTATGCAATCCTTATTGAATCTATGAAAAACGATAAATTTGACTAGTATGCTGAATTCCTCTTTCCACCAGCTTTCCAATGAAGGGTAACAAGCTATAGGGTTACATTTGAAAAAATCATGTTGAGGGTGCTGTCAGCTACCCCTGGAGTGATACATTCTTGATAATGCTTGCAAAGAGTGGGTAAATACATTATATCGTTGACGTATGTCTGGAATTTCCAGAAAAAATATTCACCTCCCAGCTTAAGAATTTATTCCAGTTCAAGTCTCCACACTATATACCTACTCAGGTTCAGGGTGAGACGGGCGAAGCGGACCAACTCTACAGGGTGTTTGGTTCACCAACGTATATCAGAAAAGAGTTTTTAGGTTATGTGATTTCGAACATTATTTGAAATTTTTGACAAGAATTACACCTGCTGCAGGCATCTTTTTGCAGGTAACTTTATCATTCTTTTGAAGTCATCAAATATCTGTCAGTCGAATTCTGTGACTTGATTTTAAAAAATGCGAACTTAGTAGTATTTTAGTGATTTGAGTAACCGCTAAGTGGAATGAAAGATAAAAGAACTTGAAGTTCTTTTTCGGAGACGGTGTTATTGGCTCATTTTTAGGAACTATAGCACAACAACAGTCATCAACAGTGTATTTATTTATATATCCGGGAAAAAAGTACTCACTTCTTTCCCGTGGGAAAAAAATTATTTGTGAAAAGTGACATTTCATAACCTGTTAACAGAGATGAAATATCAAGCTTTGTTCTCGTCACAGATTTTTTTTTATCACATTTAGATCCCATTTCCAGTTCAATATCGATGAAATACGTATTCAACTTTATAACCTCCAAAAGTTCAAATTGAATCCAACGCTTACCTCATCTCCCTGTCCTTCCTAGATACGCACGATGTTCCACGAACATTATAGGAATTTCCTTTCGTGCGCTCCAAGAGATAAAGAAAAAGATACAATCAGAAGCATAAAGCCACAGAGCCGGCTGTGTCAGAACTGTTTGAAAAAATTATCACTTCATCATAACTTTATGAAATAGAGAGTCACGACTAGACATATCTCTTCTGTAAATTTCTATCCAACAAAAATGTACGAAAAATCAATTTACACGAATCTGGTTGAAAGTTAATAGTTATCAGCCAGATCAAAAGTGAAAATTCATTCGTTATGGATGGCCAAAAATATTTTTCATATATATACGTCAGCTAGTCTTCATGTTCCTTGAGTTTCCTCATGAATCCTTGCCTTTATGGACATTATTATATTGAAAAATATGTGAATGAATTTTAGAAAATATTACTCACCCACATACACAGAGTTCGCAAATACATTTTTCTTTCTGGGGGACTACATAGTGGGGCTTCTTGGGTTCAGGTTCCTTGATAATTTTTTCAACTTTGATGACTTTATTGTCGACCACCTTCTTGATATTCGTAATATTCTCAATTTCTTCCTGAAAAAAATCAGAAGAAGTTCAACTAAGGTCCGAAAAATTCAACTTTGAACTTACTATATCTTTAATATCTATGATGTCCTCTTTGATGAATGTTTTGTCGACTTTATCCACAGAATCGACAACTTTTCTGTTAGTCACATCTTCTATGATGAATGTTTTGTCAGTACGATCCACAATATCGGTGTAGTTCTCCACAATGGTATTATTCACAATCGTTTCTGTACGAAAATCCGAGGTCATACTTGACTTGATATCAATAACCTCATTCACAGACTCATAGTTTTCAACTACAGTATTTGTTGGTTTTCTAGAAATCACCGAAGTATCTGAAGGCCCATGTTTTTTCGGTTTTCTATCTTCTGGTTCATCATTCAGTGATTTCACCCCCTTGGTTGTTTTATTGTCAAAGGAATCGATGATAGTAGTAGTAGAGTAGATTTCTGCATTAGTCTTTGATTCTTTGAAGTCTGAAACAGTTTCGAAAGTTTCAGTTGACGTTTTCTTTTCTGGAACTTTTGAAGGTGAGTATTTATCAGTTTGTTTTGAAGGGACTCCAGCTGTTGGTAATTGATCAGGACGAGTTTCATCTTTTTTGCTTGGAGATTTTGATCGTTTTGTTGGCTTCTCATCAATAGGGCCTCGATCGCGTGGTTTAGGTCTCATTCCTGCAGCAGGAAGATCTTCAGGGCTCAATCTAGTGTCTTTTTTGGGTTCCTTGCCAGTAGATGATGGTTTCTGGTAATCCTGGTCGGCTGGTGGATGTTTATCTGTTTTCTTTGTTGGTGCTCCAGCTGCTGGAAAATCTTCAGGCGCTAGTCTATCATGCGGAGTTCTCTTGTGTTGGTCTGATGTGTTCACATCAGTAACCGAAGTATGGTATACTGTTTCACCGTTTATCAAAACTGTTTCATCAACTACACGAATTGTTTCGTGAAATTTTGAATCAGTTATTTCATTAGTCGTGTAGTCGCTTATAACCTCATTTCTGGTTGGTTTAGACAGTTTACCAGCTGTTGGTAGATCTTCAGGCCTCACACGAGTTTGTTTTTTGGGTGATTCAGGTCCTTTTCCAGGTGGTTTTGATGGTTTCTGGTTTTCTGTTAAATATTCCACTACTTTCCTTGTAGGGGCTCCAGCTGCTGGCAAGTCTTCTGGTGCAAGTTTACTATGAGGAGTTCTCGCTTGTTGGTCTGATGTGCTTCTATCCGTAACAGAACTATGATAAACGGTTTCTCCATTCTTCGAGAGAGTTTCATTCACTATCAGCATAGATTCATGATGTGATTTATAATCAGTTACTGTACTAGATTTATAGTCATCAATTAGATCAGTGTGTTGAGAAATTCTTGTATCTCTGGACGGTATTGGCTTGGATGGAGAATCAGTTTTTCTAGTTGGTTTAGTTGAAGGGCTTCCAGCTGCTGGCAGATCCTCTGGACGCAATCTAGTTCCTTCATTTGAAGGTTCTGGCCCTTGTCTAGGCTTATGGTGGTCTGGCGAGTATCTGACTGGTTTTTTTATAGTCGCTCCAGCTGCTGGTAAATCTTCCGGTGCAAGTTTAACAGGTGCTCTTCTCTCTGGTTGATCTGATTTGCTTTTATCAGTTACCGAAGTATGATAAACTATTTCCCCATCTCTCAAAATTGTCTCATCAACTGATCGAATAGTTTCGTGATGTGATTTTGAATCAACTACTATATCAGTTGAGTAATTGGTGATACTCTCAGAATATTCACTTGTTTTCGAAGGTCTGCCAGCTGTTGGCAAATCTTCTGGTCTCACACGAGTATCTTTTTTTGGAGAGTCAGGTTTCATTCCAGGTTTTGATGGCTTCTGGTTATCTGGGATATATTTTTCCACCTTCCTCGTTGAAGCTCCAGCTGCTGGCAAGTTTTCTGGTGCAAGTTTACCATGAGGAGTTCTCCCTTGTTGGTCTGATGTGCTTCTATCAGTGATTGCAGTATGATGAATGATTTCTCCATTCTTCGAAACTTTTTCATCAACTACATGAATAGATTGATGATGTGACTTTGAATCAGTTACCAGACTAGTTTCGTGGTCAATACTAGTATGAGTTTGATGAGCAACTGTAGTATCTCCTATTGGAATTTGTTTGGAAGGAGAACCACTTCTAATAGTTGTATCTCCAGCAGCTGGCAAATCTTCTGGACGTAATCTATTTTTTTTAATTGGTATTTCAGTTTCCTTTTCAAGACTCGATGGTTTCTGGTGAGTTAGCAAATATTTTTCTGTTTTTCTCGTAGTCGCTTTAGCTGCTGGTAAGTCTTCGGGTGCAATCTTGCTTCGTGGTTTTTTTTCTGGTTGATCGTCTGATGTGCTTTTTTCGGTAACTGAAGTGTGATAAATGGTTTTTCCATCTCTCATGACTTTTTCGTCAGCCATATGTGTTGATTCATGACGTGAGGTAGAATCAGTTATCACAGTAGTATTGTAGTCAGTTATAGTATCGGAATGTAGAGAAGTTGTAGTATTTGTGGACGGTATTGTCTTGGATGGGGAGTCACTTCTTCTAGCTGGTTTCTTCCTACTCCCAGCAGCTGGCAGATCTTCTGGGCGCAATTTAGTTTCTTTTCTTGGTGATACATTTTTATTCGCCGGTGGTAGATCTTTTTCCACTTTCCTTGAAGGAGCACCAGCTGCGGGCAAATCTTCAGGTGCAGTTATTTTATGAGGGTGTCTGTCTGAAGTATTTCGATCAGTAACTGAGCTGTGGTAAACTGTTTCTCCATTTCTCGATACTCTTTCATCGACCGTTCGTACTGACTGATGATGTGAACTAGATTCAGTTCTGTGGTCAATGTATTCAGTATTTGTGGTAATATCTGAAGAAGCTTGTTTTGATGGAGAATCGCTTCTTTTAGCAGGTATCCCAGAACGTCCTGCTGGTGGAAAATCTTCTGGATGTAATCTAGTTTCCCTTCGTGGCAATACGTCAGGTTCTTCACTTGTCGGCTTTATAGGATTATGCTCATCCGCTACCCAAGTAGGCATTCCTGCTGCTGGCATTTTATCATAAGAGATTTTTCTTGGTTCGGTACTTATGTATCTCTCTTCGCCTGTTACTGTTCTATCCATAGTATTTCTTGAGTCAGTGATATTCGTTATTGTTTCGGTGCTATAGTTTTTCGAAATGTTCGTATCTGAACTTTGCATTCTCATAACATTCTCGTAGTATTCAGAATCAGTAGTGACAGGTTTGTTCACATCAACTGATTCTCTAGAAGGCGCACCAGCCCCAGGCAGTCTTTGAGTTGAGTCCGAGATGAATTTATTGCTATTCATCGTAGTTTTTGAGTCCACTATGTTACTTGTTTGTGAATTAATTAATGTTGAATCACCTGTGAACTGTCTAACGTTCTCCATCCTTTCAGACATGAGAAAATCTTGTGTATGTTCTGACGGTCCCTCTGGTCTCCTCCTCTGTGATGGAGCTCCAGCTGCTGGGAGATCTTCAGGCGATACCTTCTGACGGCCCCTCGTGGAAGATTTCGGTTTGTTGTCGTTGGTTGGAACAGTTCCATTTCGGTCTTGGGACGTTTCGTATGTGAACTGACCATTCCAACCGGTTTTTCCGTAATTTCTGTCATTTGAGTAAACAATATCGGTATTGTCTATTGTATTGTCCATGATAACATTTCCTCTGACACCAATTGTATTTTGTATAGCATTCGTATCATAAACATTGCGAACAACAGTTCCAGATGAATCAACAGAGTGCCCATAGAAGTCTTTGGAGTTAGTCGACATTTGGGCATTTCTCATCGCATTATCGACGATATTAATTGAAGTATCTGTGATTATTTGATCACTTTCAGTCGCTGATAATTGGGTTGTTGATTTGTTGGTGTCTTCAAATTTCGTTTTGCCTTGAGTTGGAAATGTTTTCTTCGGAGTTGAAGTCGATGGCACATTAGTGCCTCGAAAAGCTTGCTCGTAATTTCTTTCATCTGAGCGGATTACATCGCTCGATTCTGTCGTATTATCTCGCGTCACTCTTTCTTGAGAGGTTGAGGAACCTGGTGTGTTTTCTGTATCAACGTCAACTAATGTTTTGATGACATTCCCTTTAGAATCATAATATGTGGTGGTAGTAGTTGTGGTAGTAGTAGCACCTACATTTTTAGATTGAATACTCTCTGTTCTAGCGTCATGGATATCTTTTGAGTTTCTTTGTTGCTTTATCGAATCAGTCTTTTCATTATCAAGAAAATGTTTGGTGTCAGACTTGATAGAATTCCTATCATCTGTGATTGTTTTAGTACCGTGTTGAATATCTGAGGAAGAAGTAGTTTGATCGCCTACTTGATGGATTTCTCGCACAGCCGTGGATGACTTTGTTTTGGGTTTCTGGAACTCAGGAACATCTGAGTCATACCGAGTGGAACTATTAGAAGCTTTTTGTTTGAAATGTACTTCGGGGGTGATATTTGTTCCACCTCTGGTTATTAAATGCTCGTCATTGCTCGACTGAGCTGACTTCACAGAGTCATGATGTTTTTTGTCAATAATTCGTTCTTTTCCGTCTACTATTTCTAAAACATAACTACTAGAAGAGCTTTTTTCCATCGATGATCTTTCTTCATGTGAAGTTGACGAAGAGGAATGCTCTACTACTGTATCGCCGGTTTTAACAATTTGATTTTTCGTTTTCTTACCCTTTTCAAGTGGTTGTTCAATAACAAATTTACCGTTCCACGCCGAATCGTTCTTGTTGTAGGTCAGCTTCAGTTCGTCCATGGGTTCTGTTACGGTATACGTTGACCCGGAATGATGAGATAAATTCGACTGGTCCAAATTCGTAATTGATTGGTTGAGAACCGAACTCAACTGTTGGATTTCCGCGGAATGATTGGCAGCATCTTTAGAAATGAAATGTCTATATTCGGTTGAAGTTGGGCCAGTTTCCCCGTACGTGGTTATTTTTTCGCCGCCACCGGTAGGCAAAGATTCTGTCACGGTATATTTCACGATTTTCGCGTTTACCGGTAAATGAGAGACGTCCGCTATTTGCAGGCTCGAAGCAGAGGAAGACTTTGATACGGCGCCCGACTGGACAACTTCGCTTTTCGTTGAAGTATTTTTGACAACAGAGCTACTGGTACTTGTTTTGCTTGTGCTGGATGAACTACACAGTAAAAAGTACATTTTTGAAAGAAGACAGTGCACTTCTTTGAAAATATTATATCTGGTGAAGTGATTACTTCTTCAAATCAAGAATCGCATGTTCAACAGAAGGGACATGGTTTCTCACAACGAGAAAAGGCATTTCTTGTTAATTTACTAGAATGAAACACTCGAAAAACTTGTCTGAAACCAAAAATTCTCCAGACAAGAAGAGGGTTTTTCTTCTCAAGATTGGCTATCTCTTCCACGATAGAAATTGAATATCTTCAGTTGAGAATATGACCAAGTTGATCTGAGTATATCTATTTTCTTTCAATTCAATGCTGATCTTACTTGAAACGTCTCAGCTCGTTCGGTAAGAGAAACTTGAAAATCTTAAATTGAGTGAGAATCGCTCTGTCCAAAAAAAATATATTGTTGTTCTGAAATCCGTGAATTTTTCAAAGAAAACAGTAAACTCATTCGAAAATGATGAGTTGACATCTTCAGATCAAAAATCGTACATGCATCTGAATGAGGGGCCCAATTTCTCACACCAAGAAGAGGCAATTCTTGGTCATTTATTCAAACGAAATAATCTAACAGCTTGTCTGAAACCAAACGTTCTTGAAATAAGATGAGTGTTTCTCATTCTAAAACTGGTGACCAGTTCGAAGTGAGAAATTATTCAATTACTACTGAGGAGATGATCAAGTTCATCTAAGTATATATATATTCTCTTCAACCCAATGCATTATATTGCTTGAAAGATCTCAAGTCGTTCTGATCAAAAATCTCACATTCATAATGAGAGAAGGCATTTCTGGATCATTTTTAAAACGAAGTACTTGAACAGCTCGTCTGAAACCAATACATGAGTTTTTGAAACAATATAAGTGTTTTTCATTTCAAAGCCACCACTTCTCCTTTGTGATACCTATATATATATGTATTATATCAAATTACCTATATAATGTGTACCGAAACTAATGTATATATAAGAAAAACAATAAAAATGATCTCATCCAATGATATATATGCATTGACTATCTAGGACGGTTCTGCTCAAGCGCACTTGTTTAGTTCTGTTACTAAACCACATTAACTTGATGTTAGTGTCAGTGGCGTAGTTATAGTAGGGCAGTTCGGTGTTGTATATCCGTTCAACAAGCCATAGTTGCGAATTCCAGAGAGAACACCCTGTATATTTTTAGTTCTTTGAACTCTAGGGACAATACTGAGTACTATCACATATAGTTCGATATGGAAACTTGGTGAATTTGGTTTTGCAAAATCATTTTCGAATTTGCATCTCCAAAATGATGACATGAATGATTGAGTAAAACATATTTTAGACAGCTCCCTCTACCAAGTTTGCATCTCCTTGGAACTCTGGAAACCATGGCTTATCTGAAGAATACCTACCTATATCGTGAATCGTGACAACCAGTACATGACAAAATATTTTATGTGTTCTGTTGCTGAGGTGCCACTATAATTATTGAATTTGAATGACTCATGAGAATGAGACGACTTTGAGCTTCCTTCCTCCCAATAATCATCCACTTAACTTGAGCAGATATGGACTTCTATCAGAAACTCAATTTATTAATTCAATGCGTATAGTGACACCTCTCCTAACAAGAAACATCGAGATGGATGGTTTCCTGACTATCCTAGATTTTGGAAACAGATTTTTTGGTCCACTGATCACAAATCGTGTCCAGTGATGGCGCGTTCTCATATAAATAACACTTCGCTCATATGGAAGACATTATTCCAATGATAAATATTCCATTTACCTTCCATTTTCATGGTTGAAAATTATCTCGAAGATTATTCGACGATGATGAGCTTTAACAGAAGCGACACCAGTCCATTGTTTTTTCCTCCTGTGATAATGACAAATAAATGGAGTTCTTCGAATAAAAGTCTGACAATATTAGTAGTAATAAATAAATTGATGAATCTTTTCGATTTTATGTACTCATAATTAACTTCCTTTAGCTTGAAAGGTAAGGAAATATTTTGTTGACCTAGAGCCCCATCAATAATTCTCGTTGCACCGCGGTCCCATCAACTCTTACTACGCCACTGCGTGTCACGTATCAACGTATCATCAACAGCATATTATATACCTTCATATACCTAATACCGATCCAGCATTGCCAGATCCTCAACTGAAAAAATACTTGAATTAATAGGAGCCAAACAAGCAGATATGAGAAGTCAAATGAAGTTATGATACTGTATGATAGTATTATGACATGTGTATAGGTATAAACGAAACTGTGATATATGTGAGTACGAATTATGCGCGGTGGGAAATCCGCGTTCCGCGTACCACTGCATAGTCTGGGAGTGTAGCGTGGTACCTAAATCATATGCAAACGCACTAGGAGTGGCAATGCTGGGCAGGCATTGCTGGATGGGCGCTTGCGCAGACCCAGACCGACCGGCAAAATTTTCGAAGAGAGGGAGATGGCGTGCCCATTTACGCGCGTAAAATAATCCATTTCTGGCGTCACAGGGTTGTGTGGTTGGTCTATACGGCACAGTGTATCAGTGTACAGTAGCACAGTAGACAGTAGTAACGTTAACGTAACACTGGAAATAGGTACCTAATTAGATTCGTATAGATTACATTCTACATTACAATGGAAGAGCTTCTACGACAGTGGGACCTCTCTAAATTGATTGAAGTTTTCCAAGGTAAGTGATGATCCTAATTCGCCTTTTCGCGATCTTTATACATTTCACAAAGTTTTCTTGGTTTTGAAGCAATGTTCTTGGAGGATTTCACGTGTTTGGTCTGGTCTACATGGCGCTAGCGCCGAGGTGTAGGTAACTACTGAAACTCGAGAGTTGAGAAACTAAGGGCACAGTTTAATGCTTCTAAGGGTGAATACTCATGTCATATGCAATTAGTACCTATAGTATAGGCAGTATAGGTACTTACATTTTCATATAAGATCTGTAATCATTACCATATTATTTACTCTATGCTCTATGGTATTCTGATTGTAGGTACATACCTATCCCGAGTTTTTTTTCTGAAAGTTAGTCGAGGTTATTATTCAAGAATGTTTTTTTTTTATTTCAAGTATGCTTAATCTCAAAAGAATGATACCTAACTACATTTCGAGATACATTTGCTACTCAATCCAAGACTCAAAATCTCATAATGAAACTTTTTGATTCTTTACTGAAACAACTACTTAGATAGTAGGTATATTATGGCTCCGTGTACTTATAGCATTCTCTTGTTTCGGATTTTCATCATGCCTAGACCTATACCTCTATAATCTCAATAGGAGATAATCTATTTATCCGTAGTGCCTGTAATAGGTACCTTTTCTGATCCAAATTGATCGTTAATATCATTAATATAGTGGGTGGGGCAGCGAATACGACACGGAGTTTCTATGAAAAACCATTGGATACCTATTACGGATTTTTTTTTGGTCGGCTGAACTATCTAGAGCTCTCGAGCTTTAGATCTTCGTCTGTCAAATATCAGCGTCTGAATGTTTCATAAAACAAATTTTACATCAGGGTGTTTTCCTCCTGATTCTTCTAATAAGTCATCCACCGTGAATCACACTATGTCAATGTTGTTTCAGTACTATTGAGAAGTAGTAGGTACAGGGTGTCCCACCTGGAGGTGTCATCCCACTTTATTCTCATAATTCTTAAGATATTTTCGTCATTCAAAAACTCTTCTGGACTATTTTTTACGAATTTTTGAACCTGAGCTCACTTTTTCTCTGTATCAACCAAATACCAGGGCGGCTCAAGAAAACCTTTTTTTTTTCAAATGAAGTGACGTTTATTGTTTTTTTATAATTCGATGAAGCTCGTTAATCTGAATTTGTAGAAACAAAATCTGAGCCACCCTGTATTTTGTTGATATAAAGAAAAAGTGAGCTCAGATTCAAACAATTTGTAAAAAATTATTCCAGAAAAGTTTTTGAACGACAAAAGTATGATGAGAATTACGAGGATAAAGGGGGTGCCACATTTTAGTGGGACACCCTGTACAGTCGGATGCAAAGAACATGTCGTGGTTGTATGGTGTTAGCGCTCTTATTGCAAGAGTGTAAGAGCACTATCACCTTCTATACGCGACATGTTATCTGAATTTGTCTTTTCCTACCCAAGAAATTTTTAAACAATGTCGAAATTTTGAAAACTTGTCTATCGCAATAAATTAGGTAGATATGAACTCATCCAACTGCATTTTATTCAAGTTTAGGTCATTTCAGTTGTTATTGGATATTCTTTATTCATTGCAGATAACGAAATCACCATTGAAATTCTGCCAAAATTAACAGATAGTTACATCAAGGAATTGATTCCGAATATTGGAATGCGTGTCAGATTTATGGAGAATTTTAAAAAATATTTCGGAAACGCAGAACCTTCTTTTTATCAGAATAATACTCTGGATAATATTGATATAAGTGTTAGTATTTTTATTCATGAACTTTTGCATTAAACTAATAGTGACTCTTGAATTTTTCAGTTTTCTGATATATTATCGGAGTCTAACAGTACAGCATCAGTTTCGACGAACATATCTTCAGAAGTGTTAATTCCGATTGAGAATAGAGAAATATCACTTCATTCTCGGGAGCAGTTGGATTCATATAGAATAGTTTTTCCAGAGTTTGATCTCAGAACATTATTAATAACGTCTCCGTTAGGGAATAGTGTCTTAACTTTTTATGATGCAAATAAAATTCTGGACAACACTAGGAGAAACAGAATGGTTGATATTATAATGAAGCATATGTTCAAATACCATGTCACCCAGTAAGTTGAATTCAACTTCATTAATTTCTCCATGTATGATGACAGAATATACCCTAAACTAATTCTTATTATTTCAAAACTTCACTTTATTATTGAAAAGGCTGATTCTTAATAATGTTTTTTTTCCTCAGTAGATTGAAACATGAAGATTATAATATAATAACGGCCAAAATCATCACGCTATTCCTAACAGAGGCCACTCAAACATATTATATACCGTCTGTCAAAAAGAAAGATTCATTTAACAGAAATTCTATTGCTGCGAGAGGCAAATTGGTGGACAAGGCCAGGAATCTCGTTCATAGAAGTGGAGTCAGTACCCGGAAAAGGAAGATAGGTTCTAGCAGTGAAGTTCCAGCCAAAATCACAACATTTAGTAAGTTGGTGCAAGATTCTTGTGATTTAAATAAAAATTATACTTTTTATAGCTGAAGAAGATGTTGAATCACAAAGATTCCTCAGAACAAGGTCCGAACCATGGGAAGAAATAGTCCAACACTGGAATAAGACTTTCCATTTGAGAAGAAGTGAAAGTGAGCGAAGCCTTAGTTTGTTTTTGACAAAATGGCCAATACTTGAGGACCCAAGGGCAGACACATTGGTAGGTTGATGATGAATGTTCATTATAGTTGTTAAGTCAATCGGAAAATAATGCGAAATAGAATATTGTTTTATGAGCAAGGAATGATAGTCATTCAAAATTTCCATAAAGGTACAATTAAGTAAATAGAGCTGTCATTGCTTGAAATTTGACATTTCATGGGAGACCTGACTTATTGTGTAATGACAAAAACAACTGTAAAATAATGAAGTCATTGCTTTAACAGGTAAGGAAAAAAAAATTGAAACTGTAAAACAATGAAGTCATTGTTTTATCAGGTAAGGAAATAAAATTGATGACAAACAATGTACCTCATTGATCTATCAAGAACAGTTAAGATAGAGCAGTTTTGTGTTATAGACGTCAAAAAATATATTTTTGTCTTCAATTCAATTTCCGTACTTGATAAAACAAAGACCTCATTGTTTCACAGTTTCACTTCATTTTTTTTACAGTTGTAGTTATTATTACACAATAAATCAGGTTTCCCATGGAATGTCAAGCAATGACAGTTATTTACTTCCTCAGTTATTCAATGTGTAATTGATATTGCTAAATCATTTCGCTATTATCTGTTATAGCCGTAGAAAAAGTATACTGTAAAACTCGCATGGAATGCTAATTTCCCACTCTTACGATTTGCAACATTCGCCTACGGCTCATACTCGTGAGAAATTCCTTGCTCGTTAAACAATATATTATTTATTGGTACTAGGGTATATAATGCACTACCCAACTCACTTAGAAGGCAACCATATAAAAGAGTTAAAAAGCAAATCCACGACTGGATAATTGAGGGCCTATATACTTACCTATTGTAAACTTTAACTCAAATGAGTTATACTATTTATACATTGTTTGCAAGTATTATTGAGGAGGTATTAAAGTAATAATATTATGTACATTATGGTGTATGCATAACTGAAAAAAAAACCTAGGTAACAATAGTTTCATCACAAAAGGCTAATTAATAATCAGCGCACACAGATTTCAAAATCCATTGTGCTGATAAAATTTAGAATAGTTAGGTAATAACACAAACTATTATAATGAATGTGAGAAATGTAAACTATGTACCTAAGATACTGAATAAATAAATACATTTTCTAACAAGTGAAAAATGAACAGTTCATGTATGTACAATGTGTTACATTCACTATTCAATAAGAGGTTTAAAAGAATCATGTTACATTAATTCCATGAAAAAAAATTATCCTGGTGTTTGTTTTTTATTCGATGTTCAAATGAGTTTTTTGTAGATTGATTGCGACTTCGACAGACTGTTCCCTAATCGAGGACTCCACTTCTTTGGAAACTGGCACAACTTTTTTGATGGAGTGATTGTAGCAAGAAAGGGCAGTAACAGATATGATGAAATAGAGGAGATTCTCGAGGAAGATGTCAATGAGAGTGAGTATTATTTTAAATGAGAATATGCATCTCCGAAAGATTAAGGTGAAGATTAAAAAAATTATACATACATACTTATGAAACCAAACAAGGATGAAAGTATTTTATTTACATTTCATAGTGACTATTGAATCTAATAATGAAATGAGTATATACTTGAAGTTAACAGATTACTGTTGATCATCAAACAATTTGTGAAATTGAAAAAAATAGTAAAATCCGTATACTGACAGTTTGGAATGTTGTTTTTTCTGAAATGTTACAAAAGACAATGAACGATGCGAACCAGATAGTCTGCACCATACCCAATAAAATATAATAGTAGAACCTAATATGAAATTCAATTCTCATCTTAATTATTCAATGTATTTCTAAAAGAAGTCAAAAGATACCAAATCGGCTTATGTAGTCTGTACTAAATAGTTGTCTGCGTTTCAGAAATTGCATTTTGTTTGTGTTTCAATGGTTTCAAGTCTTATCACTTGTAATAAGAAAAAATATCTGGAAATTACCCAAAAATTTTCAGATTGCAAATTAGCTGTTCACCTACTGAATATTGCAAAATTGGTTCCTCCCAAGGGAAGGAAGTCTATTGGAAAAGGAAAATTCTGGAAATTTACTGTTCAGGAATGTACTGACTCCATTATATGCCATGCCAAGGTAAGACTGAAATGATTGAACTTATTCTGTATATTATCTTCACATAAGTGCTTGTTCCACACCTATAGGAACAATTTATCTAATAAACAAAAAATTATACCAATTCATATATTTGTTAAATATGTACTATTCCTAGTTACCTAACTATGCCTTGATTCATTTCAGAATCCAAGTGATATACCAGAAATAGTGGAAGTTCAAAAAAAGAGTGCTTTGGCCAAGTCGGTAATGGTACAACCGTACCTCATAGTAGAGGGTCATGACGTGCGAGACATCAAGAATATATATATTGTGATAGACTCTGTCAGATATCACTTTGCTTCACTCACTAAGGCCTTTGATGTTTGTTTCAAAGCTTTCCATGTGTTCAATGCTGAATACCCACCTCAGTCTGAGCATATTTGGCAGCTCATTGCTCATATAATTTATAAATTACCTTTGGAAAAAACGACGTCATATATAATGGATATAGTGGCACATTTTCAATCTGAGAATAGATAAGGCTCATATTCATTGGTGAGTAGGTACATGACTTTATGAATATAATCACAATGAATTGCTCGTGTAATGAAACCTTCACAGACATTGAACAACTTATTTATCATCTAGAATATATTCATAATTGTTCTTCCTATGTATGTCCATTCGAATTTTGTCGGAGTTCTTTCGACAAAAGGCATTCCTTCAGGCAACATTTGATGAAAGTACATAATCAAGTGAAAAAGAATGTTTCTGTAAATATTTCTAAACCTGTCATTGAAAAAGATGTTCCTGAAAACACAAGTAAAACTGTTATCCATGAGATATCAGTAGCCTCAAATAACAGCACCCTCTCAGTTGAACCATCAAATAACTTAGGAGACTCAAGTAATAGTCTGAATTCATATGGTAAAACTGAAAATTTGAAGGATACGTTTTATGAATCATTGTTGACCTCAGTAGATATGCTCATGGCAAAATTATATAATAATACTTCTATACCTAGATCATTTATCCAAGAAACCATACAATATTTCAATTGCTTCTTGAACTCGGGTATGTTGGAAATTCTGATCAAAATTTTGACATTTTTGCCTGTTAGCGATATAGTTACTGATTTGAAGTCAATGATTAAAAATTTGCAAGCCAGTTTATCGAATTTTGATACAGAATTCAAAAGATTTAGATATTTTCAGTCCACAAAACATTTTGTTGAAGCGACTCCTATAAAACTTGGTGTGACCACTGAATCGCAAACAAAAAATGGAAATGTTAGTTTGACTGTAAAACAAAAAATGGCGTACATGATGCCTATTGAATATCAAATGAAAACATTTTTTGAACTACCAGGGGTTTTTAGTTCGGTGCTCAGTTATCAAACTCAACTTATGAATGATAAAAGTGGTACCATGAATAATCTTGTCCAAGGTTCTCTTTGGAAAAATAATGAAAAGTTCAAGAAAGATTTAGTTTTTCCACTGTTAATTTATTTCGATGATTTTGAAATTGGAAACTGTCTAGGGAGTCATGCTGGTTACTATAAAATGGGAGCTATTTATTATACCATCGCAACAATTCCTCCAGAGTATGCAAGCAGGTTAGAAAATATTTTCACTGCTCTACTTTTTCATAGTTCTGACAGATGTGATGAATTTGGGAGAATCAGACTATTTGAACCTCTTATAGAAAAACTGAAGTATCTAGAAACTAATGGAGTGACTCTAAGAAATGGTGTTAATATAAAATTCAGCGTTTCTCTTGTAATTGGCGATAACTTAGGAGTTAATTCAATTTTGGGATTTACAGAAAGTTTTTCCTCAACATATTATTGTCGTATTTGTTTAGGTGCCAAGGATTCTTTGAAAACTCAAATAACTGAAGATCCACAAATAATCAGGAACGAAAATGATTATCAAAACCACTGTGAGAATAGATTATTCGGTATAAAAGAGGAATGCGCTTGGAATTCCCTGAGTAACTATCATGTTTACAGGAACATTACTTGTGATGTCATGCATGATATGTTCGAGGGAGTTCTGAGGTACGATATGGCTAGTATAATATCTGAACTTATTAAAGAACGCCTTTTCTCTTTGGACACCTTGAATTCTAGAATAAAATTTTCTATTTATGATCCATTTGAAACTAATATTCCACCCAACATAAAACTGGATAATCTGAAGAAGGGTAAAATTGTCATGTCATCCTCTGAAATGTTTTGTTTACTAAGAAATTTCCGTTTTTATGTAGGGAATGCAGTCCCAGAAAATCATGAGGTATGGCTATTTTACTTGAAAGTTCTAGAGATAACTGAAATAATGATGTCTCTTTCCCTAACCAATGATTTATTGATATTATTGGACACTTTAATTTCCGAGCATCATGAAATGTACTTGAGACTGTTTAATGTTGACTTGAAACCAGAACATCATTTTATGTTACATTATTCTCGAATTATCAAAACAGTTGGTCCACCACGTTTTTTTTCATCAATAAGATTTGAAGCCAAACACAAAGAGTACAAAGCAAATGTGGTCAATAGGAAAAATGTTCCCAAGAGCTTATCAATCAGAAATCAATTGAAATTTTGTCATCGTGTACTGTCTGGTGTTGGACTCAATGATATTATCAATGTAGGATCAATATTCTCTGAAACATTTCATAACACCGATGAACTGAAAAATTATGAATATATGCAGGAACATTTTTATTTGACCAGTTGGTTGGAAAGGAACGGAATAAAATATATACTTGGTAGTGTAATATGCAACAACCTTGAAGAAGATATGCCTCATTTTTTTCAAATTAAGTATATTCTGGTGAATAAAGAAATTGTAGGAAACTCTTATTTTTTGTGTGAAAAAATTATTGCACTTTCATTCAGCAACCATTATCGTGCCTACGAAATAAAGAGTGAAGAAAACTCAAGCCTTGTTCCATTACATGAATTCAGTGGTGTATTTCCATGTTTTATTCGAACCTTAAGTAATGGAAATCAGTATATTGCTCTGCCTCTGCACTGATTGCTTGAAATCGTAAATTGATGGGTGGATCAACACTACTTGGAGAGCATTTCAAAATTATTGACATATTATCTATTGTATACCTACTTCATAGGTAAGTTTTTACATCTGCCAAACAAATTTATCAATGAATGAATTGCATTATGATGTATTCCTTCAACCTTTCGTTACTGAATATTATAAGGCCCTTTTGTATTATGGTATATAAATGTTTTTTTTTCTGTTATTCATGTACTATACTGAATTATCATCTTACCGCATACCAACATATTGATATACGTCGACATTACAGAATGACCCTGTACTTGTACTCTTTAATTATTTTATTATTATTTGTTGTATATAAGTACCTAGTATCTAAATTCAATGAATTTGTTGAGGAAAGAAGTGGAAATTCATAAAGACATGTACCTACCTATTTTAAATTATTTGGGGCAATACAATGACATATATATTTAGTTTTTTATTTTAGGACGATATCTATTTTTCGGTTTTAAAATTATTTGATAATGTAGGTTGTATTTTATTCAGAAAATAGACAATTCTGAAATTTGTGATTATTTCATTTCCGTCAGACATTCAGACATTGATATATATTTCAGAGTAGGTACCTACCTGCTTCAAAATTATTTTCAAGAGAATCCACCTTTATGATTTGTGAAATCATCATAAAGAAGCAGCGATAATGTTAAGGTTTTACCAAGGATAGTCAAGTGAAGATGCGTAGATAAATAGGTAAATTAAGGTCTCGGATCAGGAATGGATATATACCTAACAATCAAGAATGGATATATCCAAGTAAAATCATTATATTTCTGAAGATTGTCTCGTGTTTTCGCAATAGAATGTGCAAGGCATTCTTTGTTTTCTAGCTATAAAACAAAACTGCTTGATAGATCAATGAGGAACATTGTTCAATTGTCTTCAATGTAATTTCCGTACCTGATGAAACAGAAGTCCTCATTGTTTTACAGTTGTAGTTATTATTGAACAATAAATCAGGTCTCCCAAGGAATGTCGAGCAATGACAGCTCTATTTGCTTCCTCAGTTATTCAATGTGTAATTAATATTTTGTTGAATCATTTCACTATATTATCTATTATAGCCGTAGGAAAAGTATAGGGTATAACTCGCATGGAATGCTAATTTCCTACTCGATTGATTTGAAGCATCCGCCTACGACTCATGCTGCAAACTTCATACTAATGGGAAATTACTCATTCCTTGCTCGTTAAACAATATACTATTTCAGTATGTTGACCAAACATTCATGAGAAACTGCGTGTTTGGTACAAACAAAATCACGGTCATCTGTAGTATAGTTATTTCAAGTCTTGAATTGAAAACTAATTTGTGTCAATAGAAGTTTTCCAAGTTATTGATTGAAGAAATGGTACTTCTCGATCTGAGTAAATCAGAAAAATTCGTGCAAGAAAGTGGATCTTCCAACAAAAGAATCTGTTGATCTTGAGTAGAGATAGTTTGAATATTCATCGAAAGAACTAATGTGTCTCATCAAGAGTCGTCGATGTTTTCCATAGAATGAGTGATATTTCTCAATTGGAGTAAATCAAAAACTTTGATATAAGTAAGTGCAAGTTCTCAAACGGAAGCATCGCTGGCCATCTTGAATCAAGTAGTTTTAATTTTTCTTCAAATAAGCTCTCCGCTTGATTCGACATGAAATCATTGAATTTTTGTTGGGAGTATGTGATTGATCTTTCCGAATGTATGAAAATATCTGCTTGAAATTATGAATTTCTTCAAGGGAAGATTCAAGTCATTTGGTGAGTGATTCACGGTATTTTTGGCTGAAGAACTTGAGTATATTTCTTTAAAACGTTAATTGATTTTGTCAGGAGATTTGAAACTGCATCAATTGATGGTTATATTCAATCCTATTGAGAAAATAATTGAGTTCGAAATTGAGAGAGTACGATTCTCAGATTGTGAAAATATTTCTTCATGAATATATGAGAGCGGGATATGTTTGGCTAAAGATATTATTCTTCAATTCAAGATTTTTGTTTTTACTGTGTAGCGGCAGTGTTGGATGTTGTAGTTTTCTTTTTTGTCTTGCTCGTAGAGTTTCCACCTTTATTCACTGTCATGTTGATACACTCTATTCGAAACACTTTATAAAAATAGTCGTTGATATAGGTTAGGGAAAACAACACTACTTGGTATAAAAATTCTAGCGTACCTATATGTGAACGCGGCCGCGATATTTTTGAAAGTGAAGACACCGCGCTCGCGAGACCAGCAACAGGTTATGGGTGACCGCTACGTCATAATCGTTGCTCCCACGTTTTTGTTAAATGTTTTACTTTTATGGTTAGTCTGCGAGGTTCGCCAGCTCTGTCGAGATTCGTCACTTTCTAAAGAATTAATGAGTAACCTAGAATCTCTAAAAACAACACAACACAACACACATGCGAACACAAATGGTACCTATTAGTCCTATAAGTATATGCCTATAGATTATTTTTCGACTTGTGTTCGAATGCACGCTAGATAACTTCACTTCACGCGGAAATAAGTAAATATAATTATAATATTATAATAAATAAGCACCACTACTGTTTTGACGATTTATTTCAAAAAATTTCGCGATAAGTGGGTTATATTTATAGATTATAGGTAAATATTTGTAAAAGTTAATATGGAGAAGAAAGTGTATACCGCATGTCCTAGCTGTTATA